GCTTACATCTCTGTATTCCTATCTTTGTTGTCACTCATAACAATGAAGAATTTTTCAGCCAATAATTACTGAACTTCTGAGAGGTCCATGACATTAAAGCCTAAATAGATTTCTTCTACTGTGAAATACTCTAGACCAAACCACAGGCCCAGAATAGCCCAGCAATCAGAAGTCAACTGAGACAGAAAATCTAGCAGCACTCACTGATAAAACTCTATGTCTTGGGCCTCAGTTAACCTGGCACACACACATCATTTAATATAACACTAAATCAGACACTAAGACATTAGTTTTGAGAAGCCCTGAAGTCCAGTTTCTTTCATCTTGTACGTTCACAGATAGGCTAACCTAATAAATATGTTTCTAAGATGGTGAAGGGAATCAAATTAATCTCCATAATTTGATACTTTAGAAATATCTGAACAATGATAAGTTGGGTTATGCTTCATGTCCTCTACAGGCACAGGAGTAAGCAAATGTCTTAAGTACGCGGGGAGACATGATTCTGCAGATAACTCATTCAGACAATCTCTCTTCTTTATGGAAATACTGAGTCATTCCTCAAGTTCCAAATCAGGTAATGTGCCCTACAGAAAAAGTTCCTATATGGACCTCAAAAGAAGTAATCAATACTCCTCTTTTACCAAGTACATGCTGCTTACATTTCTAATACCATTTACTTCATCTGGCACATGACATGTTTAGAAGTCTCCAGAAAAACAGTAACAGTCACATGGTAGCCTCATCATTTCTGAATCAAACAGAAAGCAACTAAAACAACATCATGCACACATAAAGAAAGCCATTAGTACATGAGTTCTCTTTTATAGAAGTTTGAGCCTTAATGGGACTTTTTTTCACAGCTTTCTTTGACTCCCACCAAATGAGTCCCTGCTTCCTGACTTTGCATCTTTCCCAATGTCAAAACCATTACGACTTCCAAGTCTCAGGAGCGTCCTCCCCAACTCATCTACACTATTTAGACTTGTACTCAGTCTTCCGTACTATCGTTCACATGTGTTGCTTGTCTTTCAATTCCACTACCAATGTCCTTTTCCTCTTAACAGAGACAATTATAATAGATCCATAACTAGAATCATTTCAAAAATCAATAAAAAGATATAATTTCAAAACACATGAAACAAAAACAGGTGAATACAAAGTGATAACTGGACATTTTAACAATCTTCTCTCAGCTACTGACAGATTGAAACTAAAAAATCATAAGAGATAGAATTATGAAACAATTTGCCAGGTGGCATTTATAGAACTTTTCATAATAAATGCAGTTTACAGTTTATTTTTTAAGTATACATGGGAAATTCACCAAGACAGATCAAAGTTGGAGCTATAAAAATAAATTTCAATAAAGTTTAAGGAATGAAAAACATAAAAAATACATTCTATAAGAGTATTAAGAAAACAAAAATAATAAAATATCTAAAAAACTTTCAACGTACTAGTATATGAAAATCAGACCACTTACATTTCAAATACCCATAAGTCAAAGAATAAATCAAAGGGAAATATTTTTCTACTTTAAATAAAATGACTATGAAAACACAACATACCAAAATTTGTGAAATTCATTTAAACTATTTGTTAAGATGGAAATTTATAACTTTAAATGCCTATATTAGAAATGAAAGGTATTAAAATAAAGACTCTGACTTAAGGAAAAGAGGATATTCTATGAAGTACAAAAAATAAGAACAAATAAAACCTAAAAAGGCAATCAATAGAAAAAAATAAAAATAAAAAAGTATTTCTTGAAAATATTAATAAAATCACTTAAACCCACAGTAATATTTATCAAAAACAAAAAGGAAAAAAGCAAATTACCAACAACAGGAATATAAAAAAAGCTATCCTTTTTGTAAGCATCTCTCTTTGTTAAGTACTTTCTAGTCAAAGGACCAAACTGTCTTTATTTGCAGATTATGTGTCTGTGCACTAGAAAAACAGTAAGTGCTAAAGAATCATCAACAACAAAAAGCTACTAGAACTAATTAACTTAGTATGGTTGCAAAATGCAATGTTAAAATTTTAAAAGATCAATTGTTTTTCTACATATTAGATATGAACTCTGGAATCTGAAATTATAAAATATCAGTTATTACAACATCATAAAGAAAATCACAGAAACTTAGAAATACATCTAAATATGATGTGTAAGACTTCTTCGCTGAATACAACAAAAGATTTATGAGAAAATTTAAAGATGACCTAAATAAAAGGACAAAAAGCTTCATATTCATTGGCTGAAAAACCAAATATCAATATATCCACTTTCTTTAAATTAATCTATACATTCAACACAATCCTATCAAAACACCAGTAGGTTCTTAGAGAAAGTTGACAAGCTGACTCTAAGATGTGAAAGGAATAAAAAAAAATGCTCTAGGGATACAAAGTTTGAAAAAAATCAGCATTAAATTAAAAAGTAGAAGTAAAAGCAATCACAGTGAGAGATAATGGACAACTTCATAGGCTTATTTATGAAACTTTGAAAACTTGACTATAATTATTTAAAATTTCACTCTTTTAGATTTATCCCCATTGACAGTTTTATACACTGCCACATTAATCTTTACACTAGGGCACTACAAAAAGTTTGTGCAAAATGGAACTAAAAGATTTGCTCATTTCAGTTCAAAAAATTTTTGAAAACCATGCATACTAGAGGTCTCCAAATTGTTCATGGAAAATGCACATTATGAAAAATCAATGTATGGATTTCCAAATTTTTTGTGTTATAAACTTCTGTGAATTCCAGTTTTCCGTTAGCTTTATGAATTTCTTTCTTACAGTGAAATGATTTGCAGGGGGGAATATTAATATTTACTAAAAATAAAAATAAATTGTAACTTCTTAATTAGGGAATAGTCCATAACCTGTAGGGAGAGCATTAAACTTTTATGTAGAAATCCTGGGAACTGGCATTGTAGGTAGCAGTTAAGCTGTCACCTGTGATGCCAGCATCCCATATGGGCGCCAGTTTGTATCTCAGCTACTCCACTTTCTGATCCGAACTCCCTGATGATGCATCTGGGAAAGCAGCAGAAGACAGCCCAAGTACTTGGGTCCCTGCCACCAACATGGGAGACCAGAATAAGCTTCTGGCTTCAGCCTGGCCCACAACTGGGGAGTAAACCAGCAGATGGAAGACTTCTCTGTCTCTCCCTCTCTCTCTGTAACTCTACATATTCAAATACATAAATAAATCTTTGTATATACATTCTCTAATTAGATGTTATTGGACTGTAATAAAAAATGCAAGATGGAGCACTGTGGTATAGCGGGTAAAGCCACCACTTACAGCACCAGCATCCCATATGAGCACCAGTTTGAGTCCCAGATGCTCCACTTCTGATTCAGCTCTCTGTGATGGCCTGGGAAAGCAGTGAAAGATGGCCCAGGTCCTTGGGCCCCTACACCTGCCTGGGAGATCCAGAAGAAGCTCCTGGCTCCTGGTTTCAGATCAGCCTAGCTCCAGCCTTGCACCAGTGTATAGAAGATATCTCTCTCTCTCTTTCTCTCTCTTCTTCTTTCCCTCCTCTCCCTCTCTCCCTCTCTCCCTCTCTTCCTCCCTCCCTCTGCCTCTCTGTAACTCTGCTTTAATAAAGCACAGTTTTAAATAAATCTTTAAAAAAATGCAAGAGCATCCTCTGACATTTATTGCTGATGCAGTTTACATGTTTTCATTGTACTACAGCAAGTTCTCAATGTGCAATCTGAGAACAGTCCATGACCCCTTAATAATAATTACACTAAAATAGAGCTTGTCTTTCTAACATGCAATTTCTCATGAACGTAAAATAGACTCTTTCCAAAGATTCCAAGACATATAATATACAATACATTAAATAGAGAAGCAAAAATGAAAATACAGCTTGTTTCCTTTCATGCTAGCAATTAAAAAGATCTGAAGAAATGAAAAACAATAGCACTTTTATATTTTTTATATTCTTATGTTAACATGTAATGGGTTTATATTATTGTTTAAATGAATATATAATAAAACTGCATATAACCACATTAATAAAAGCTCTTTGGGTCCTTAAATGGTCTTGATACCAATGAAGTTTGAGAATCACTGCAGTTCAGTAATAAACAATTACTAAATGGCAGACTTGCAAAATAATCCTGATGAAAAACAAAAAACTTATTTTCAAAAGCATTATTTTATATTAATACTTAGATTTTCACAGTGGATTTTCTAAAATTTTCTTAGGTTCTTAATAAAGATCCTCTGTGGTTCTTCAATTAATAAAGCACACCAACAAAACAATGGCTATGGCCAACAAAACGTAACAATGCCCATGACTCCAATACGTAACTGCTGCTTTTCTTCTTACCACATGATGTATCACTTGTGTAACAGAACAAAAAAGTGGTTTTCCAAGTCGTTCATCCAACTTTTCAAAACAGATAATACCTACATATAAAACCCTACCACCTGCTCTCTCAAACTCTTTCCCTTACTCTACTACTTTCAGCATTTTATTTACAACCTTCTAATATATTATACAGTTAACCAATCTATTAGAATCGTCATCTCACCCACTATAACACAAGCTAAATCAGTATTTTATTTCTGCTTTATTCACTGATGTATCCTTAGCACTTAGAAGAGCAATAAATGCAAAATAGGCAAAAAAATAAATACTTGTTGAATGAAATAATGGATATTTCACAGGAGTGAAATGTAAGCTCTGGCACTTTACCAGCAGAGAACAAGCACCTCTTACCAAATTAACATCTGCAAACAGCCAGGGCTGTGTACACAGGAGGGAAGCTGGGACTGAAAGAAAAACTCAGGGCTGAAGAGTTTTCTCTTCTAGATCCAGAAATGAAGAAAAGGAAACAAAAAAAACACGGAAAGGAGATCGATTTCAAAGAAGTCCAACCTGGAGGTGGAGGTTTTTTTTTTTTTTTTCCCTTAATTCTAGGCTTCCATGAACATAAACAAACAAACAAAAAAAGGAGGTAGCACACACCTCTCTTCTCCTGATGGATTTCTTCCAGCAGCTGCTCCTGCCTTTCTATCTGTTCAAAGAGGCACTGGAGCTCAGATTCCTTATTGGCAGTCAGGTCCCTGAGTTGTTGTCTGCAGAGCATCAGCTGGTGTCGCAGATTTTTCTCTCTGTTTTCTCTTTCTTTCAGTTCCTCACAGAGCCACTGAAGTTTAGTCTAAAAATGACATGTAGATCTAATTTTTAAAAATCCAACAGCATTTCAAAACATGAGGAAAAATTACCATATTAAATCTGAACGCATAAAGGCGTAATAACTTGAACACAGGCAATAATGACCAAATTCCAGCAATTTTTAAAATATTCATTTTAATTCACATAATGGTTTATATAAGCCAAAAGTCTGTTTGGAAATTAAGCCACACTATTCAGATATTTTTATAAAATATTTGCTATATTCTATTATCTTTAGAAAGAAAATACCACAGAAGAGTTTGACTCATTATATCCCTAAACATAATGTAATTAGTCTCCTGATTTGATATACAAGGCAGTCTAGTACAACTGTTTGAAAATAAGAAACATTCCAGTATAGAATGACAATGACAGACATATTAGAAAGGGGAATTTTAATTCAAAGAACAAAACAATGAAATAAAATCCCTACTTTTGACATATAAAAAGACACATCCCCATGGATCCAGCTAATCATGGTAGGAGAGATACTACATAGGCTAGGGAAAATAAATAATACTTGCTTGCAATCCAGGCAACTCCTTTTCATAGACTCCAAGCTCTCCTATCTTTAATATTTAGATATTTAAAGCAGGAATGTGGGTCCTAGGCTGTGGCATAGCAGGTAAAGCCACCACCAGCAGTGCTGGCATCCCATATGGGCACTGGTTCTAGTCCCAGATGCTCCATTTTCAATCCACCTATTTGCTATGGCCTGGGAAAGCAGTAGAAGATGACCCAAGTGTTTGGGACTCTATACCCCGTGGAAGACAGGAAGAAGTTCCTGGCTCCTGGATTCGGATTGGCACAGCTCTGACCATTGTGGCCATTTGTGGAGTGAACCACCGGATGGAAGACCTCTCTCTTTCTGCCTCCCTGTGTAACTCTTTCAAATAAAACAAATGAATCTTTTAAAAAATGAAAAAATAAAGCAGCAATGGTAAAAATATTTTTATGTCCAATACAAAATGATTTCAGTCAATTCTCAGTGTCTTGCCATGTAAGGCTAAAATCCCTAGTTGATGTGGAACAATCTGTACAGTCCTTACAGAAGTAAGCAGTAAAACAAGGAAACAATAGATGAGAAAAATCAGGCTAAGTTAAGGGACACATCATAAGCAAGAAAGCTGTTGTCCTCCAGAAGTCCAGGATGTGCTCAGGACAAGCCACAATGAGTCAAATAGCTCAGCCTGTGATGAAATGGGACTGGGCTAAGGCCCCCAGACTAGGGGCTCCCCACATGCATCAGCGTTTGAACATCCCCAGTACTGAAGCAGAGGCATCGACCCTTGGGCCAAAGGACTATCCAGCAAACAATGTCTCTGTGATGCCGAACTAAAATAATCACTAGTCAAATTCTGGGAAAAATTACATAATAATTTTGGAAGATAAATACATTATGTGAATGTATTGACCTAAGAAAATTCATGCTACTATAGGCAAAACCTAAATCATTAGTATAAACTCTAACTGAAAGAAAGGGGGTCATCACAAAGCAGGTCCTCTTCTAGAATGCTGGTCTGAGGAATCCTGCAGAACTGGACTTCAATGAAATACTCATAAATGCTGAAAACAATTTTCTTAAGAGGCAGCATTGTGGCACAACAGGTTAAGCAAATGCCTGCAAAATCAGCATCCCACAAGTGACAACTGGTTGACATTCTGGCTGTTCCACTTTTTTTTTTTTTTTTTTTTTGATTTACTTATTTATTTGAAAGGCAGAGTTACAGAGAGGCAGAGGCAGAGAGAGAGAAATGCCTTCCATCCGCTGGTTTACGCCTCAAATGGCTGCAACTCGGCTGATCTGAAGCCAGGTGCCTGGAGCTTCTTCCAGGTCTCCCATGTGGGTGCAGGGACCCAAGCTCTTGGGTCATCTTCTACTGCTTTCCTAGGCCATAGCAGAGAGCTGGATCAGAAGTGGAGCAGCCAGACTCAAACCAGCACCCACATGGGATGCTGGCACTGCATGTGCCAACATTTGCCTGCTAAGCTACCCTCTTGGCCCCTGCTCCAGTTCTGTTCCAACTCACTGTTGACATGCTGGAGAGGGCAGATGTCCCAAGTTCTTGGGCCTCTGCCACCACATAGGAGATGAGAATAGAGTTCAAGTTTCCTGGCTTTGGCTGGCTAGCCTTGACCATTGTGAGCATTTGGGAAGTGAACCAAAGGATGGAAAAATCTCTCTCTCTCTCTCTCTCTCTCTCCCCATTCTGCATTTCAAATAAATAAAGTGAACCTTTAAAAATTTTTGTTAAATAGACTTACCTTTTGGGTAATTTTTACTCATTTATTTGTGCATTTATTTTGAAAGAGAGAAAGACAGAGATCTCCCATCTGCTAGTTTACTCTCCAAATGTCTCCCACAGAAAGGGAAGCAGGGACTCACATCCAGGAACTTTGATACAGAAAGCAGGTGTTCTAAGCAGCAGTCTAACTAATAGCCCAAACTCCTGCTCTGAAAATTATTTAAAAAAAATCAAAGTCTCAAGAAATTAAAAATATTTATTCAGGAAATTCTATTAAATTATGATAGAACTTGCAACGGTGAGTGCCACTTGAGAAAAGACTCTCTCCCTCCCAGATTCATAGTGACAAAGCTCTAGTCCTTATCGCAGAAGGATGTTACCAAGAAAATAGGAATTCCTCTTCCCTTAGTTCACAGGCAAGGTACATGGGATCGCATTGAAAGGGCAGGTGACCAGGATTTTTCATCTACTTAGCACTGGTTTGTGCAGGCTACATTCCTGGCAAATGTTGCCAGCTGTGTAAAATCTCTGCTTCCAATTCCACAGTGATGAAGTAGTCTAACTCAGGCTCAGTAAGATGAGATACTGGGCCTCAAGAGATATTTCCCCAGATTACTTCTAATTAGATGGTGGTTGTAAACATGACTCTTGAATACAGATTTTTACAAACCCTCCAAAAAATCCAGCTACATATAGAAAAGGTTTTCTTCTCAAAATAAACTGATAAAATAAACCAGCACTGTGGTGTAGCAGGTAAAGCCACTGCCTGCATTGTTGGCATCCCATACGGGCGCCGGTTCGAGACCCGGCTGCTCCACTTCCAATCCCGCTCTCTGTTATGGCATGGGATAGCAATGGAAGATGGCCCAAGTGCTTGGGCCCCTGCACCCACGTGGGAGACCCAGAAGAGGCTCCTGGCTTCGGATTGGTGGAGCTCCAGCCGTTGCAGCCATCTGGGGAGTGAACCAGCAGGTGGAAGACCTCTCTCTCTCTCTCTCTCTCTCTCTCCTCCTCCTCTCTCTCTCTGCCTCTCCTCTCTCTGTGTAACTCTGACTTTCAAGCAAAATAAAAATAAATCTTTAAAAAAAATAAACTGATACCTATTACTGGAATGCAAGGTTGGTTACAGTCTAAAGATCATTAATATAATTTAACATTTTAATAGAATTAAGGCCAAAAGTTACAGGATTATATCAAAAGATATAGAAACAGCATGATGAAATTCAATATTCTTTCATGACTGAAATTCAAAGAAATAGTAATAGAAAAGAACTTCCCCAAACTGAAAAATGACATCTATAGGAAACCTACTGCTATTATTATACTCAATGGCAAAAGAGTGAATGCTTTCCTCCCAAGGTTGGAAATAAGAAAAGGGTGTCAGCTCTTAGCATCTCTATACATCACTGTGTTAGAAAGTTCAGACTGAGCAATTATATAAGAAAACAAAACATATAATAAAATATCTGTATTTTTAAAAAAGAAGCAAACATTTCTTTATTTGCAGATAGCATGCCTTTGTATAAGATAATCCAAATGATTCCATTTAAAAAATCTATTAGATCTAATAAAAGAATTCAACAGGTTGCATATATAAAATCTCTTAAAATTATATTTTTATACACTTGGAATGAGCAGTCAAAAAATAATAAAACTAAGGCAATTAAATTGCACTAGCAACTAAAGAAAAAAACAGCAGCATTTTAAAAAAAAAAAAAAACTTATAAAACCTATCCACTGAAAACTAGAAGACAATGTTGAAAAAAATTAAAAATACTGAGTGAAAAGTCATTCCATGTACATAAATCAGAAAATTTAATACTATTCATGTAGCAACTACCCAAAACTGATTTATAGATTCAATATAATTCTTAGCATAATCCCAGCTGGCTTCTTTTGAAAAATGAACAATTAATCCTAACTTTCATATGGATCTTCAAGGGACACAGAATAGATAATAAAAGCTTCTGGGAAGAGTGAAGTTGAATCCCTACTTCATACCATAAATAAAATTAAGCCCAAATGGGATCAAGATCTAAATGTAAGAGTTGAAAATGTAAGACTTCTAGAAAAAAACATATGTATAGGTCTTTGTGATTTTGGTTTGGAAATGATTTCTTATATGTATCAAGGCACAAACCACCAAAGTAAAAAGTTGACAAATAGGAATTAATCAAAATTAAAAGTGTTGGGCCTCAAAGATAACTATCACCAAAAAGAAAAGACAGCTTGCTAAATGGCAGAAGATACTTGCAAGTCATGTTTCTGATGATGGCCTTGCATCTAGGATACGCTAAGAATTAAATAATACAGGGGCCGGCACTGTGGCATAGCAGCTAAAGCTCTGGCCGTTGCGGCCAATTGGGGAGTGAACCAGAGGATGGAAGATTTCTCTTTTTCTCTCTCTCTTCCTCTCTCTCTGTCTCTCTCTTTGCATCTCCTTCTCACTCTGTGTAACTCTGACTTATAAATAAATGCATCTTTAAAAAAAGAATTAAATAATAGAAAGATAAATGATGGAACTGTGAAAACTCACGAGAGATCTAAGGAGACACTTCTCCAAACAAATGGCTGATAAACACATGAAAATGTGCTCAACATCCTCAGCCATCTGGATTATGCAAATCAAAATGCCACAACGAGATTCCACTGCACAACTAGCAAGGTAGCTATACTCAGCAAGACAGTTATAACTGTTGTTTTGGAGGTGGGAAACCTGGAACTCTGACACACTGAT